GATCTATTGGCAAATATCTAAATTCCTTCTGTTTTCTTTACAACTCAATTTGGAAAGCAGGAAAAACCCATGGCTTTGTGTCTGGTACAAATTTCTTTGTGGCCAAGTATTTTTAAACCACATTCATCAGCAAAGCAAGGAAATCCTCACACTTGTCTTCTTTCTGCATCAAGCTTCTTGGACAGGAATAAAACCTAAAAACTCTAAAAATAATTATGAGCATTATATATTTAGTTAAGTATAAGGTTCTGACAATATGGGATATAAAACAGCCTAAAATAGTAACTAAAACGGACTTCAAAGAAAATAATATATAAAATATATTATATATAATATATAAATCATGTTATTTAATTTATGGGAACTATAAATTAGATCATGTATTCTAATGGATTTTCTCACTGTCCTTCATATACATGCTTTACCTTATGGAAAACAAATAAACCTGAAGAGTGCTTTAGCACACAGGAAGGTATACATATTGTATCTAGTCATGCTGTGGGACACTTCCGAGAAATACAATAAAAGTGTGTGTCATAGAACCCCTGTATTGTTTTGCTGAATTGTTGCTTCTAAGAAACCCATTACAAAGCAAAGGATAAGATCATAGACCAATCGGGAGCCCTTTAAAGTTTATGGCAACCAGGAAGAGACTGCCAAATTATCAAAGTATCAAATCAAATTTGAATTTTGCCTGTGAAAAATCCCAACATATAATCTATCTTGCTGAGATTTAGGGTACCCCTACCTCAATAACAAATAATCAGATAATAATGAATCACTTCCTTTATCTTCCCTCAATTCATAGTGAGGAGCTACTTTGCCACAAGAATATAAGTTCAGACCCACCTCATTTCTTTCTGGGACAACAACCTCCTAAATGACTTACTTTCTTTCCTCTAGCCTTTCTGATGCTCCATTCCATTCTACACTTTGATGTCAGAATCATCTTTTGAAAATACCAATTTGCTTGCAGCACTCTACTGCTGAAAATCTTTCAATGACTCACTTTGCTCACAGGTTAATGTCCAAGTTCTTTCACTATGAGAAGCCAAAACCACTCTTCTACAATCATCATTTTCTTCCTCTATTACTTCTGCAGTTCCACTCCTCTCTTCTGTGCCTGAAGAATGTCTGTTTTTCAGTCAAGACCCAGGTGGAATGTCACCCCCCTTATGAATCTTTCTATGACTTCTCCCAAGTGAATTAGTCACTCTCTCCTCTGGTCTCCCATAAAACTTTGCCCATAAAATGTGTGGGGTGGGGAAGTTGTTGGAGGGAAAAGGAGTGCTTGTACAGCAATGGATTTGACCAAAGAGGTATCTAAGATGTTGCCAGTCATAACCCCTACTTGAACCAAAGCATATTAAATCTTATATTTTATGTATAATTATAAGATTTCATTTCAAAAATATTCTGCCTTTAAAAAAGAGTCATAATAAAACACAAGTATAGTGGAAAATTATAGTATTTGGAGCCAGAAAAACTAAATTTTAAATAATCTCTCTTCCACTTATGAGATGCATGACTTTAGGCAAATCGATTCTCCGACCTAATTCTCCAAAAACATCATCTGTCACTTATTTCCTTGCAACTTAAATTCTGGTTGACCTGAGAAATTTGAGGCTTCCTAAACATTTCATACTATTTCATACCATACTTAAGCCAGTTCATGTTTCTGGAATACCTTTACTCTATTACTTTCATGTCAGATGCTTGTTCATATTTCGAGACCCAGTTGAAGTGATATTTCCTTCATGAAGTCTAACTCCAAGTAGAGCTCAATACTCTTGTGTCTTTGACCTCATTTCGTGATATACAAACTTTTATTATATGTTGTAATTTTTTGCATGTCTTTTATCCAGGGCTACGTAAGCCTCAATATGATCCTATTAATTGTTACAATGTTGAAATAATATTTACAGTTTCATAAAGATCCAGTGTCCCATGTTTCATCTCATGTACTTACTGCCATCTCAGTTCTCCTTAAGACACTGGCTTCAAACTTCCAGTAACGGAGCAACTAAGGGATTGACACTTGGAACATCAGGGAACCTCCAGAACTCTGCTCTACTTAAGGCTTGTATTCATTTTGATCCATCAGTTCTTGTGTTGTCCTGGTTGTTAATATATAAATATAGTTCTTGCTTATCTTCCTATTAGAAGGTGAATTTCCTGAGAGCAGAGATTGAGTTGTTATTCATCCTTGTTCCCCTGCAGTTCTAGTTGTTATTATCTAGATAATCCTTCATTTTGGTACTTCTCTCCTTTCTGGTATCAACTACTCCCTACCTTCAATGGGTTTTCAATAATCTTATGTTGTCACTTTTAGCTGTCAAGAAATCCCTACCTGGTCCTACCCTACTTGGACCCATGATTGGGTCTTACTCTTCCTTTATCCCTACACACCAAAATTAATTCCTTTTCTCATAGATACACAAGGACAAGCGGAAAGGTAATTTCATGAATGAAAAGAATACAATTGAGTATGTATTGTTAACTATAAACTGTCCAAAATATTAATATGGTTTACAAATGCATCTCACATAACACAGATTTTTAAAGAATGGGTTGCCTTCAACTTATCAATAAGTGCTCTTTTATCCCTTTGTACTTTTGAATAAATCATTCCAGAAGAGTAAATCTTTTAAGGGTCCTTCCCACTCTTACTCTCACCCATTATATATTGTACAAAATGTTACTACTGACTGCTCTATACAACACCTAATGAACTTTCCGAAAAGATCATTCTATCTCATATAGGAAGCACTGACGAGTACAATGCCTATATTCATGCAACTAACAAAATATTCTTTGGAAAGATAGCTGTTGTGAATGAGAAAATAATAATCTATTTAATTTAAATTAATGCCTACATATAAAAAAATAGGTGGCAACAAGGGACTTTCTAAACAAAAATAATATGGTCAATCTAGAAACTTGAAGTAGAATTTGATTTATATCCAAAAAATATAATTACAATCATGAGATGATTCTGGTGGATGTTAGTTTCCACTATAGAATCACTCTATATCTTACATCATTTTTTTAGAAAAAAAATATCGTTATATTAGACCAAAAACAAAATAAAATATGATTATTGTAATAGTAGTAGAATATTCATTATTTGAAAGTGGTTTGCTAGGCTGTTTTTACTCATTAACTGACTCATTCATTAAACAAACATGCATTAAATGCCATATCTGTGCCAGATGCTAAGAATACAAAAACATAGTGTCTAATACTAAAGTGCTCACATTAGCAAACCAAATGTCTTTTTTTAAGTTTATTTATGTGAAAGTCAGTTAACAGTTGTCTTATTTTTCCAGAGCATAGTCAAGAAGAAGGAAAAAGGTGAAAATAAAAATGTTCTCTAAAGACTTGTGCTACTTATAATGGCAGACAAGTTGATTTAGACTAATTTATCTCTGGTTCCTAGTGATCACAACTGAAAAGCAATATTTTTTGATATTTTTTAAAAGCATGAAAAAACCTAGGAAGCTAGTAAGGAATTACTGAGATGAGATATGGTAAAGAACAGATATGGTAGAGAAACCAAAGTCACTTTTACCCTGGGAGTATTTCCAGATTTAAAGAGGATGTTGACAGAACTGAGTGCTCAGTGGCCTCTTAAGTTTAGTCAGAAAAAAATTCAAAGACCTGGGTTCACAGTAAAGTATGAGGATCCAATATATTTTTTCATGATTTTGACTGAGAACACAAGAGATTAAGCCCTAGGTATAAGAGCAAGTCAAAGGAAACTAACCCTCTCAAAAATTTGAATTTTGGGGCACTCTGAATTTGAAGCCCAGAAAATAGCAAGCTTTGAACTTGCTGATTTGCTACTATCTCCAGGAGCCTAACAAAAGCAAACTGAAGACAACATTGGAGAAAAATATAGTAATCTTAGACTTCATATTATTTATACTAAATTTATTTAATGTCTAGAACCCATTCACAGAAAACTAGACACACAAAGAAGCAAGACCCTATAAGCTAGAAACAGAAGAAACAGTAGACAACAAAACAGACACATGAAGACTCTAGATATTGATCTTATGAAACAGACTGTAAAACAACTACAATCATTTTAGTCAAGGAAATACCTGTCAAGCTTGAATTTTTCAGCAGGGGAAATGAAACAACAGAACACATATATAAAGAATGAAATCAAAACCCCAGACTTGAAAAATACTATGACAAAATTAAGGACTGATTGAATAAATTTTACAGTAAAATACATGGTGCTGAATATCAGCTTAGTGAACTGGATAACAGGTCAGAATAAATATCCAAGATAAATTCCAAAGAGATATTGCAATGGAAAGTGTGGAAGAGAGGATAAACCATAAAAGATACAATGTGATGATATCTTTAAAGGAGTCTGAGAAGGAAAAGGGAAAATGGGACATAATCAACTTTAGAAGAAATTGTGGCAGAGAAGTTTCTGTAAAAAATACCAATTCACAAATTCAACCAGTCCAAAAATCTCAAGCAGAAAATAAAAAGATAATAAAAAAATCACAGCTAGACATATCATAGAGAAACTATAGAAAACTAAAAAGTATAGATTTCAAAATTTGTCAGAATAAAGAATACAGTTTGCATTCAAGGAACCAGCAACTAAGAAGACATCTGTTTTCTCAGTAATTTCAGTGAAAGCTAGAAAACAAAGGAAAGTTATTTTCAATGTACCTTTAGAAAATAACTGCCAATCCTAGAATAGTACTAAATGAAAACATCCTTCAAGAATGAAGACAAGGGGGCTTCCCTGGTGGCGCAGTGGTTGAGAGTCCGCCTGCTGATGCAGGGGATACGGGTTCGTGCCCCGGTCCGGGAAGATCCCACATGCCGCGGAGCGGCTGGGCCCGTGAGCCTTGGCCGCTGGGCCTGTGCATCCGGAGCCTGTGCTCCGCAACGGGAGAGGCCACAACAGTAAGAGGTCCACGTACCGCAAAAAAAAAAAAAAAAAAAAAAAAAAAGAATGAAGACAAGGGAATTCCCTGGTGGTCCAGTGGTTAGGACATTGCACTTCTATTGCAGGAGGCCTGGGTTCAATCCCTGGTCAGGGAACTAAGATCCTGCAAGCTGTGCTTCACGGCCAAAAAAAAGAAAAAAAAAAAAGAATGATAACAAAATAATAACAATTTTGAACAAAAACTGAGAAAGTTTGCCACAAGAAAGCACACATTAAAAGAAATCCTGAAGTGTTCATCAGTTAGGAGTAAAATAATTCCAAACAGATGATCATAGATGCAGTAAGAAATGAAATGAAGAGAAACAGCATGATAAATATGTGAGGAAATCTATATAAATATTGGATGCATAAAACAAACAATATATTTTGTGGAATATTTATGTGTAGAGAGAGAGGGAGGGAAAGTGAGAAAAGCAAGAAGAGGAAGAGAAAGGAGGAGGATTAAAATACAGTACAAAATTCGCATGTAAGTTAAGAACAGAGAGGGAAAATAGAATTAAAGTGTTATAAGATCCTCACATTGTCTTAGAGGAAGATAAAATTATCAATCAACATTCTGTTTCCATAACTCAAGGATGCATACTGTACTTTAAAGGAACCAAATAAAATGTGTATGACTTCCAAATAATAGAGGGGAGAATGTTATAATAAAAATTACTAAAAAATGAAAAACAAGAAATGAAAGGAAAGGAAATGGAAAATCAAAGAATCAAGACATTAAAATCAGAAAATAAGATAATAGATTTAAACCTTTATGTACTATTAATTACATTAAATATAAAAGGAATAAATGCTACCATTTAAAAATATATATTGTCAGACTCGATGAAAACGAAAAGCTCAGTTATATGATGCTGTTTTTTTTTATATTCATTTAACTTTATTTATTTTTGAAATTTATTTTTGAGGTAACAGTGTTTTATATTATATTTCTACTTCTATATACCCAACAATGTGCTCAGCACCAAAAATTCAATTTCTATGCATCACCATAAACTTGATCCCCTTTACCCACTTTATTCTCCACCAACCTCTCCCCTTCTGGAAACTCTGTATCTAAGTGCCTGTTTTTGTTTAGTTGGTTTATTTATTTATTTTGTTTGTTTGTCTCGTTAACAGTTTCTTTTTTTAATATTCCACAAATGAGTAAATCATGCTTTTCTCTGTCTGACTTATAAGCTGTTTTCAAAACAGAGATCCTATAAACATACAGAAAGGTTAAAATAAGAAGATAGAAACACATATTTAAAACACTAAACAAAAGAAAGCAGATGTGGCTATAAAAATATCAGACAAAATAAACTTTAGAGGAAGAAGATTACTAGAAACCAAAAGGTCAATATATAATGATGAATCTTTATTTTGTCAGGATGAAATAAAAGCTATAAATAAGTGTATGCCTAATACTATAAAACAAAACTTGATAAAACTATAGGATAAGTTGACAAATCCATAGCCATGTTAGAGATTTTAACACACCTATATGTGGAATTAATAAAATAGGCAAAAATTATGGATACAGAACTGAATATTATAATGGAAAAAATCTGATTTAATGCTGATATGTTTATATCCATGAACCCAAAACTGCAGAATATATATCACTTTCAAGAACACATGGAATATTTTTTTAAAATAATTACCGCAGAGCAGAATAAAGAAAAAAAGAATGAAATGAATAGAGGACAGTCTCAGAGAACTCTGGGACAGCATTAAATGCACCAAAATTGGAATCACAGGGGTCCCAGAAGAAGAAAAGTAAAACAAAGGGACTGAGAAAATATTTGAAAACATTATAGCTGAAAACTTCCCTAATATGGCAAGGAAATAGTCAGTGAAGCCCAGGAAGTGCAGAGAGACCCATACAGGATAAATCCAGGGAGAAACATGCCAAGACATATATTAATCCAACTATCAAAAATTAAATACAAAGAAAAATATTAAAGCAGCAAGGAAAAAGTAACAAGTAACATATAAGGGAATCCCCATAAGGTTAACAGCTGATCTTTCAGCAGCAACTCTGCAAGCCAAAAGGTTGTGGCAGGACATATTTAAGGTGATGAAAGGGAAATACCTACAACCAAGATTACTCTAGCCACCAAGGATCTCATTCAGATTGGACAGAGTAAATAAAATCTTTACAGACAAGCAAAAGTTAAGAGAATTCAGCACCACAAAATCAGCTTTACGACAAATGCTATGGGAATGTCTCTAGGCAGGAAACACAATAGAAGGAAGAGACTTACAATAACAAACCCAAAACAATTAAGAAAATAGAAATAGGAACATAAATATTGATAATTACCTGAAATATAAATGTATTAAATGCTCCAACCAAAAGACATAGACTGGCTGAATGGGTACAAAAACAAGACCTGTATATATGCCATCTACAAGAGACAGACTCCAGACCTAGGGACACATACATACTGAAAGTGAGGGGATGGAAAAAGATATTCCATACAAATGGAAATCATAAGAAAGCTGGAGTAGCAATTCTCATATCAGACAAAATAGAGTTTAAGTAAAGACAATTACAGAGACAAAGAAGGAAACTCCATAATGATCAAGGGAACAATCCAAGAAGAAGATATAACAGTTGTAAATATTTATGCACCCAACATAGGAGCATTCAATATATGAAGCAAATACTAACAGCCATAAAAGGGGAAATCAACAGTAACATATTCATAGTAGGGGACTTTAAAACCCACTTTACCCAATGGGCAGATCATCCAAAATGAAAATAAATAAGGAAACACAAGCTTTAAATGATACATTAAACAAGATGGACTTAATTGATATTTATAGGACACTCCAATCAAAAACAACAGAATACACATTTTTCTCAAGTGCTCATGGAACATTCTCCAGGATAGATCATATCTTCGGTCACAAATCAAACCTTGGTAAATTTAAGATAATTTAAATCAAATCAAGTACCTTTTCCAACCACAATGCTGTGAGACTAGATATCAATTACAGAAAAAAAAAGCTGTAAAAAATACAAACACAATGAGGCTAAAAAATACGCTACTAAATAACTAAGAGGTCACTGAAGAAATCAAAGAGGAGAGCAAAAAATACCTAGAAGCAAATGACAATGAAAACACGATGACCCAAACCTATGGGATGAAGCAAAAGCAGTTCTAAGAGGGAAGTTTATAGCAATACAATCTTACCTTAAGAAACAGGAAACATCTCGAATAAACAACCTAACTTTGCACCTAAAGCAATTAGAGAAAGAAGAACAAAAATACTCCAAAGTTAGCAGAAGGAAAGGAATCATAAATATTAGGTCAGAAAAAAATGAAAGTTCATGACGTAATGGTATAGGATTGGTCAACGTATTGAAGCAAGGCTATTGAAACAATTCTTGGTAAGCAACTCATTGTACTGATAAGTAAGCTGTTCATCCAGGTAAGCAAACTGTTTGTCCAGATGAACTGATTTGTAAGAATTTCCTAAAGCAAACAGTAAAGTTATTTATTGATTTTATCTTTCTGGGCAAGAAATTTATGGAACAAACAGTTAAATTACGTTGACATAGGTGGTCTCAGTTCTTACAATATTGTTTAATATTTTTAGAGGCTTTTCCCATTTTAAAATTATTTTTCAAATATTTAAAAAATCATTTTTTTCTAATAATTTTATAGTTTCCTCTTTCTCTCCTTCTGCTCCTCTTCATTCATCTTCCTAATTTAATTACTTTTTCCAACTGGAATTGATAATAAGAAATGAGGTTGCAGTATAAAAAATTTTAATGTGCTTAATCAATTGTCCTAAATTGTTGCTAATTAATTTATATTTTCTCCAATAATATAAAATGTCACTTTTATCATGTACTAAATTCTGAGACATATTTGCATGAGGAAAATAAAAAGAAAGAAATGAAAAAGAAATGAATGACACAATAACAAAGATCAATAAAACTAAAAGCTGGCTCTCTAAGAAGATAAAATTGATAAACTATTAGCCAGACTCATCAAGAGAAAAAGGAAGAAGACTCAAATCAACAGAATTAGGATTTAAAAAGGAGAAGTAACAACTGATACTGAAGAAATACAAAGGATCATGAGAGACATCTGTAAGAAACTAAATGCCAATAATATAGACAACCTGGAAGAAATGGACAAATTCTTAGAAAAGCATGACCTTCCAAGATTGAACCAGGAAGAAAGAGAAAATATAAAGAGACCAATCACAATCACTGAGATTGAAACTGTGATGAGAAATCTTCCAACAAACAAAAGCCCAGGACCAGATGACTTCACAGGCGAAGTCTACCAACATTCAGAGAAGAGCTAACACCTATATGTCTCAAATTCTTCCAAAATATAGCAGAGGGAGGAACACTCCAAAATGCATTCTAAGAGGCCACCATCACTCTTATAACAAAACCAGACAAACATGTCACATAAAAAGAAAACTACAGGCCAATATCACTGATGAGCATAAATGTAAAAATCCTCAACAAAATACTAGCAAACAATCCAACAGCACATTCAAAGGATAATAAAACATGATCAAGTGGGGTTTATCCTAAGAATGCAAGGATTCCTCAGTATAAGCAAATCAGTCAATGTGATACACCATATTAACAAATTGAAGGGGAAAATCCTTATGATCTTCTCAAGTGATGCAGAAAAAGCTTTCAACAAAATTCAACACCCATTTATTATAAAAACCCTCCAGAAAGTAGGCATAGACGGAACTTACCTCAACATAATAAAGGCTACATATGACAAAACCACAGCAAATATTGTTCTCAATGGTGAAAAACTGAAACCATTTCCACTAAGATCAGGAACAAGACAAGGCTGTCCTCTCTCACCACTATTATTCAAAACAGTTTTGGAAGATTTAGCCACAGCAATCAGAGAAGAAAAAGAAATAAAATTAATCCAAATTGGAAAAGAAGAAGTAAAACTGTCACTTTTTGCAAATGGAATGATACTATACATAGAGAATTCTAAAGACGCTACAAGAAACCTATTACAGCTAATCAATGAATTAGGTAAAGTAGCAGGATAAAAAATTAATGCACAGAAATCTCCTGCATTCCTAAACACTAACAATGAAAAATCTGAAAGAA